CTCACTGGAGATATTACAAGGAAGGTGAATGAAGAATAAATATCAAGTACTGCTCCTTATATTCATTGTGCCATTAAGTGTTTGCAATAAAAATTATAAATGTTTAACTTCTAAAAAATGAAGAATGGGAAACAGGAAAGAAAAAATTGATTTTTATGTACACAGTTATGTCTCAGAACTTTTAACAAGTCAAACTGGTGATGAAAGGTAATAAACTGTAGATGGAAAAGGGAAATGCTGAGAATGTTTACAGAATATTAAAAGAAATTTGAGATTTTTTTTTTAAAATGGGATTTTAAATTCAATTTTGATTTGAAGACTTTTATGGGAACATTTTTTTTATGATACAGTCTTTTTATGCATTCATGGTAATTGACTTGGGTGAATGCTGTAGCTTTTGTGTTTAGTTCCATATAAAAACTTTTTGCACTCGTGTGTTTTGCAACTGCATCATTTTTTAACCGCTAAGGTTTAACAATATATTTGTATAAATAATGAGTCTAAGCATGTTAACTAAGGATTGATTAGAGCGCATTTGCTGGAGCAGCATAGTGTGAGTTGCAGTGGCTCGGTGGTGGAATGGTTTAGTACTGCGGTACCTAATTATTGCAAAATCGGTACAGTGATCATAGGTTCGAGACTGGGTATGAGAAATTTTTTGCTTGTCCTTTCGAATCATATGTACTGGAAATGAGGCTCACAGCCTTCCTTTGTAGACTACAGGCAGAAATGTCATCAAAGGAGTGGTTCGGAATCCACTATTAATTGTAGGTCTAGGTTTGAGTGCAGTTTGATCTGCAAAACACCTAAGCGCACCTCTGGATCTTACAATTGATCTGAATAGGTAAAGTTTTTTTTTTGATGGAGCAGACACATAAGAAGAAGCTAATCAAAAGAATATTACCAAGGGGTCGTTCACTTATGACGTCCGAAATTAATAGTCATATTTCAAAAAAGAACAATGGATTTCCAGGAATTTCTATTGTTATTTTCTTGCTGACCCCCCTGGACGTCATTAGTGAACGGCCCCTAAATCGAATCAATGATTTAACGAAGTGTCGATTGAAAATATTTTCTAGCAACAAATTGTTTTAGTGACTTAAGGAATAGCTGCACAGGACTAGCATGAACAAAGTGTTGACAACAGAGACTTTTTGCACTAGTAAAGTTTGCAAAAAAATGCACAAAAGCACCATTCATCAACATTCATGTAAAAGAAATAAAACAATTTTAATTTTAATGATGACAGAAACAAACAATTCTTTATTTTTATTTACATTATTCAACTTTACCTTTTAATTATGATTTTTATTTGTGTACGAATGAAAGAAAAACCAAAGAAACAAAACGAGAATAAAATTTCAAAACTAACCTGGATGCTTTCAACATTTTACTTCAATATTAAATTGCATGACGTGGGTTGTAAGTGCGAAAATTTATTTTTCAATTATAAACGAATTTTCAGAACTGAATTTTTTTAAATGAAATGAAATTTTAATCTTTTCATTAAGTTGCACAGAATCTTCCTCGATTCCACACAGGTTATGTAACATCTGCAGCTATATATTCAATTTAATTTGATTAAATTCAAAGCATTTTCATTTCAATTAAAATTTAACTTTCTCGCATTTTCTCACATCATCCATGGCCTCGACTTAATTCCGTAAGGATGAAACAGCAGCTTATTCTATAGCATTATTTAATTATCACTTGAATGGTTTATTAAGAGTATATACCATTATTAATAATGAATGTGAGACGAGGTTGTAAAGTTGTGCTGAATTTAACATCCGAATTCTGTTCCTTAAATTTTTCAGATCTTTGGTTGTCAGAATTGCAAAATTTGATCATTGATTGTTTTCAGCAGTGAATGGAACTCGAAGGACTCGACTTGAAAAGATTATAGACTCTTATCCATTTCACTGTTTGAGTTACGAAGCTCGGTTCGTGTGTTTGGTTGTAGTATTGATGTCTTTGACACAGAACGTGCCTCCTTTGCTTGGTATTCAAGGATTTAGATGATTTTTTTACGGCATCTTGCGCACATGAATTGTGACTAGGTCCATTACATCGTAATTCAGGTCTTTAGACATTTTGGTGTCTTTGCAATGTGCAGAGCTTGCAAATGGTTCGGATCCCACTACAAACTGTAGGTCTAAAGGCTGTGGTACAATAGATTCTTTAAAAATTGAATCCTAGTGCCTTTAGCTGAAAGGCTTAGCCCTTCACACATTAATATTTATCAGAAGCGTATCCAACGGGGTCAAAAAATTACTCGACTATTTTTAACAGATTCCCACCTTATTGACAGAACATTTAAAAGCTATTGAATCCATTGTTCTGAATTGTGAACACCAAACTATTGATTCCTTTAAATTTCATCTGAAAAATGATTATCTTGATTCACATGTGTACCTCATTTGCAGTTCATGCAGTGAAAGTTAAAGAACAAGATAAACTACTTCGACCTTTTGTCGTCACCTTCACCAGAATGTCCTTCTGGAAAACACAAGGTGAAAATCATCTCAAACAAGACGGTGAAGTAAGTCGTTACGGTTTAATGGGAGAAGTGTTTAAATGCCATACACATCCATGCACACACATATGTGTAATGAAAATTACTCTTTAAGAGCGAAAAGTTTCATAAGACGAGATGTATTTAATGACCAGTTTTTTTTCTACTTCTCCTTCACGACTTGCTTCACACAAACTTTCCTTTTTTTTTGCCTTTCGCTTATCGTTCTCGACATTCCTGAAGAAGAAGGAACTAGTGGCAGCAATTTTAGCATTAACCTTCTTTTTTTTCCGTCATCATCATCAATATCAGCAACATCAATTTGCTGTGTTGCGTCAAATTTCATGACTTCTCTTCTAAGCAATTCCTATTCCATATGTGAATGTTGATTCCTCGTATTAGATTAAATTACTACACAGTAAATATGAGAAAATGGAAATGGAAAGGCAGGTCTCATTGAGATCAATTACAACAGTTTTTTGACATGCATTAATTATGTTGAGTAGAATAAGAAAAGAAAAAGGTTTTACTTTCATCCACATCCATAAAGAATTAAGAAAGAGAATAAATCAGTATTTTAATGGGAAATGGGATCAATTTTCATTTTCAATGCTTCTTTTTTCGGCAATTCCATGTGATTCAGAAATAGACTTGATGAGATTTTCTAATGTTTTTGTGTTTTGATTGCTGTCTTTATGGTTTTTATCTTCCTAGTAGGGTAGCATTAATTATTGCTGTAAACATCTTAATGAGATATTTAAATGAATTTTTATTTTAAGAGGTTATTATGTTCTATTATCAAATTACCGCAAAGCACTCCAGCATTTCTTCATGCTTCTTTGTGGTGAGAGTTATGGAAATTTTTAAAAACATTTTTCGGCATTGCGTTTTAAATTATTCAATTAACTCAATTAACTGAGTATTGATGTTGCTTAATTTTTGCTATTAGGAGATCAAGAAAGTTACAGATGGGAGGAGGTCATTAATTTTTGGAAGTCCTAAGCAGAGCTTGAAGTTGATGAAATTTTGTATGGACTCGGAGTCAACTTCGCCATAGAAAATCGATGAAAATCTTAAGTCGACTTCGAGCTTGGGTCAAAAATAAAAAAACCTCAAATTTAGGGATGGTTTAATTGGGTTTAATTATTCATCTATTGCTAAGAAGCAATAGAGTCTTGATAGACAAGTTATACAGTTTGCACGAATAGCTCAGGTCAATTAATCGAATAGACGAAATACGGTGTCAAACTGGCATGATGCTAGCTTCAATTTTAAATCCAGCACCATGTCAGAGTAACACCAGCTAGTGCTGGATTAACCGACTGGAGCCTTTCGGGTTGGTTTGCCTGGGTTTGCCTTTGAAGCATAAAATTCGAAATATCAATAATCTGAAGATATCTTCTACCTTGTTTATCAAATGTTATAAGATTTTTTGAACAGCCACATGGAGAGTCTGTATTTAAGTGCAACGAGATAAACAGTTGACATTAAGACAATCAGGTTATTTCAGGATTTTGTATTTTGATGCCCTAATTTCCCTCAAAGCTGATACTGGCCAATACTAACCTTAAGTTCCCAAGTAAGTCAAATATAAACTCTATGTCGCACTCTCCCCTCCAAGGTCATATACGTGCACAGAGATCTTCTTATTGTGTCAAGTTGTTTTGTATTTCATTGACTCTGACACGTTTGGTTCCTATTCAATTCCCATACAGTTCAAACATACAAAATTTCAATGTGAAAATACAAAAATACAATAAATTCATCCCCAGAAAATAAATTCAATTTTGAATCGAAACACGAGTGTCGGTGAATTTCTTTTAATACATTTAGCACTAAGAAGAAAGATACAACAAGAAGAAGAATTACCGTGATGCGTGATAAGTTGACAGTTTATATCCTTCAACTTCACAATTCCATTTTGATTTTTTTTTCTTAAAAAAAAGATGTGAGCAAATTCGTGAGGGAAGGAAGACGGCACAAAGAAGACAATTTTTTAGACACAAATAAAACCATATGCTACACATTTAATCGATTGACAAATGCCAAGTGACATTTTTTTAAAAAAAACTTTTTACTGGCATCATATTACGTTATTTTGTAACATACATGCTTGTGAGAGTATTCAAGAGTCATAAGGTAGGATGAGTAAAAAGACTTAGAAATGTTTTTATTATTGACTGGTTCATGGAAGAGTTCATTGTTTGATACTTTTATTCACATTTTCTGGAGTGGCAACAATCAGATGCGGAAAGGCTGAATATAAATGATGAGAAAACATCAGGTTGAGGACTTTTATTTTTAAAATACTGTACAATAGTTTAGATGCTAAAATGAGGCAATTTAATGCTTTTTTTGGTTTTGTTGGAATATAGCATATAAATGGATCATTAATTATGTGGATTCAATTAGTTTTCAAACCTTATAAACTAGCTTATGAGCTCATAAGCTTCGGATTCATTTAAAAATGACGGTTAAATACGAATACCCCCCCTTCAAAAATCAATTATTGGCATGTATCATTCACTGCAAGCCTGTTTAAATCCTTCCAAAACAATCACCAAAAAAAAAAAGCAATTCAACATGTCCACGTCATGAGAAATCACACAGCAACTCTTATAAATTTATATTGTCAATCACATTCGGCATTTCCTCAATTTCCGCTCAGTCTATTTATTTTCTTTTCGCTGCCATGTCGCGTGATTCAATAAGGCATTGCATTATTCAGTTTGGTAATCATCATTTCCATCACTTTTTCTTCCCTTCACCGTTTTTTTTTCCACCGACGTGTTACTGTATTTTGAGTTGAAGTGTTGATTTGAATTTATTTCTCGTCTCTTGTCTTTACACAATTTTTTCTTCTCAGACCGTTCTTTCCTCTCACTTTTCTTTCTTGTTCTATATATGGCAACATATGTGTATACGTCAATTTGATGTTATTTATGAAAAATTCAACTGATGACATGATGAAGAGGATTTTTTTCATCTTGTTCTGTATACCATAAATATGATAAGTAGTATTGAGTATTTTAAGATTTTCTCTTCTTCTTGTGGCTTTTGTTGTTTGTGTTCTCTTTTGATAGCTGTTGTTGTCTGATTTACTTACTTTTTTGATTGCGGATTTGTCGTTTCTATGGATTCCATTTGCTTTGTGTTATAAGAATGTTTTCTTGTCGGAATTTAGGCATGTTATGAGACACATCATTGACTTAGAGGTCAACAAAGAACCAGGGGTGCGATACAGGCACCAGTCCACTGCTGAGAACAGTACAATTTCTTTATAATTTATAAGGCTTTCTTACAAAACCATACAAATTCTAATAAAACCTCACAAATTATCAAGGAATTGTACGGTTCACAGTTGCCTGTATCACAACCCTGTCTTGAACACCAAATGTTATGAGGCTAAAGTTCTAGGTTGAGCTCTAAGTTGACAGGAATGTCAAAAGAATCAAGTGACAAGCCTAATTTCGACCTAATTTAAAACTTTGAACCTAAGTTGCGGGTGCAAAGATATCAATTTAAGATTCAACCTCGGGCAGCATTAAAAGTAGACCCGAAATTCTATATGGAGCCGTTTACTTATGACGTCCATGGGGAGGAGGGGGGTCAGCAAGAAAAGAACAATAGAAATTCCTGGAAATCCATTGTTCTTTTATGAAAAATGACCGTTAAATTCGTCATTAATGAACGACGTCATAAGTGAACGACCCCTACACAACAAACCTAATAATTATTATTTCAAGAAAATATATCAAAACACCGTCGAATACTTTTAAATTTTTTTTTATTACCAGTGTATTCATGCTCGACATACACATATGTGGGTCTGATGATATGAACATACATTATTTCGATTGTATCAATAATATTAGTTTTAGAAAATAAACTTTACTTTTAATCATTAATTAGATTGACATCAAAGAAGTCAGTTTAAATTGAGTTTTAGAATTATTCATTAGCTTGGGATGGAATTGATAGCTTTTATTAGATTTAAAGCATGCCTGCTACACATTTTGGTGGGCTGTATTTAATGAGAAAAAATAATGTAAAATTTTACAAAATAATAAAAATATGATTGAATACTCACCATCTGCAGTTGCATGGCCCGGAGCTAGAAGTGAATAAAATTTGATTAAAAAAATTAAAATATCAAAATTTGATTCAAGACTTACAATGTGTTTCTGCAAACTTGTTCACATCCGCAATGGTCTGAGCATGGTAAAGTATAGTCAGTTGGGAAATCTTCGTTTCTATATTCATGGAATCCAGCCATATATTTGTCTGGATCTTGTGAACCTGCTGGAGGACCCATGTAAGAAATTGGGCTCATTCCTTGAATTTTTTTTAAACAGTTTGAATTTCTATTCTGTAATTGATTAAAACTGTGACTTACCTGTCATACCCATCATCATTGGATTCATCATCATTGGGTTCATACCTCCCATACCTCCCATTTGTCCCATCATCATTGGATCCATCATCATTGGATTCATACCTCCCATGCCTCCCATTTGTCCCATCATCATTGGATCCATCATTGGATTCATGCCACCCATACCTCCCATACCTCCCATTCCTCCCATACCTCCCATCATCATTGGATCCATCATCATTGGATTCATGCCACCCATGCCTCCCATTTGTCCCATCATCATTGGATCCATCATCATTGGATTCATACCTCCCATTCCTCCCATTTGTCCCATCATCATTGGGTCATACATGCCCATGCCTCCCATACCTCCCATTCCTCCCATACCTCCCATCATCATTGGATCCATCATCATTGGATTCATACCGCCCATGAATGAAGACGATTTTTGTTCATTTGGCTGTGACATGAATGGACTTCCCATTTGTGGCATCATTGGTGACATCATTTGATTCATTCCAAAAGGCATCATTGGATTCATTCCATACGACATCATTGGATTTCTATACATCATCATTGGATTCATCATACCAAAAAGTGCAGATTCAACATCATTGACTTCCTTTTCTGGTATTTCAACAGTTTGTGGTTCATCAGCAACTTCAAAATCACCAACAATTTTATTTTCAATTTGTGGAAGTTCGAAAGTATCAATAACCTTGTCTTCAATTTGTGGAAGGATGATTTCCTTTTCTAATGCATCCTCCTCAATTGGTGCAGCAATTGAAGCATGGAGCAAGAACAATCCTAATAATATATCTAAAAATGATAGAAAATAAATAGCTTTAAGGGTTTACATTGAATTAATGGCAATCGACCTGCAAGCAATTTGATCAAATTTCAAAATTTGACAATTAACCTTTATAGGTCTTAATTGAAAATGTCATTAAACTATGAGGCGGTAAAGTTAAAGAATAAATTTTATTGAATTAAACACAGCGTTAATTTTTTTAATTGACGCAGTTTGAATTGATAAGCATTTACATCTTAGATTGATAATATGTAATTGCGCATTGAGAAAGGGTCGTTCTTAAATAATGTCTTATTTTTTGGAAGAGAGGAATCTAAGATCTAAGGTCTAAGATGCTTCTTTATAAAAATAAAATTTTTGTAATAAACGTTGTGTGACAGAGTGGGATGGTTTCAAAATAGCAGTTTTTTGATACACGTCATTTACAAACGGCCCCCATACACGTTTACAGTAAAATTTAAATATAATTTTCTAATATCTAGGAGATCTAGGCGTTTCAAAATTACTCCGTAGATTTTTAAAAAGTTTCATTCCTCAAGTTTTTATCCATAATTGTCTAGCCATCAAGGTTGTAGGCTCACTCTGAATAAACTGTACCATACGCGTAAGCATTTTTAGTGCAAAGTTCCGTCTGTAAAAATTATCGTAGATCGAAAATTTAAGACATTTTTCCAAAGACTTAAGAACCTTACTCGAAATAATTATTAATTTTTCACGATTTTCTAGGAATCGATAGTCTGAATGCCAAATCAACCTTTGACGTCCAACAAAAAACCTAATTTTTAACCTCCCTCACTCCTTTGTCACAAACTTGTCATGTTTGTCAATACAACCCCCCCCCACCCTTCCCCCAATCTCTTGTGAAGTCCAATGCACAAAAAAATTATAATTTTCTGATTAAAAAATTGAAGGTTACAAAATTCCTTACCCCCTCCCTCCCGTGTCACAATGTGTCACAAATGTTTTGACCCCCCTCCCCCCTAAATGTTAGACGTAAAAAGAAAATGATCCCTTGAATATTTTTAAAACATTTGAAATAACGAATAAAGTTATTTAATCCTTTACAGCTCATTCGCAGCTTTCAGATGATGTCACATAGCTCACTTAATAACTATTTTCTTAGATTTAATTAAAAGTCACATTCTCATTTATACAATTAATTAATTTCCTGATTATATCCTCAAGAAAAAAAAATTATTTTTATGTCTTTAAAACTCTTGAATTTTGTAGAACTTTCCATTATTCCTCAATTTTTTATTCAATTTATTTCTTTAGTTTTTTTTTCTTCTCTATGCAACTCACATTTCATCACGTTGTCTACTTTATTTCTATAACAAAGAGCAATAAAAGTACTGACAAAGGTTTTGTGCTGATGTATCTTCTTTTATAGTTGCTACGACAATCAAGATAATAGAATTTAAAACATTTTGCAATACTTTTGATTATTAATTACCGAAAAAAGGTATTGGGACAATTGAAGCAGGACCGAATTGATAAATCCCAGGCTCGGAAACTAGGCGATATTTTAAAGGCAGTATTTAGCGGTATTTCATATAAAGAGGTGGTATTTGGGGGTATTTGGAGGTATTTGGATGGAATTTGGGGGTATTTTGGGGTATTTGGAATGAATGTAAGTTGAGGGTATTTGGCGATATACAGCCTGGTTTTTGAGTCTTGGATAAATCTTGCATGTGCACCACATTTTGACTAGATATCACTAGCTGAACTTTAAAAAAAAGATTTTAAAATAAAAATCACTTCAGATTGCACAGAAAAAAATAAGTCCACTGATTCCAGCCAACACTCATTACACACCTGCCTTTATCTCTAATTGACATTTTTTTCTCTTCCTACCACGAAAAACAAAATTGTCTATCAGCGTTTGCGAAATTCGCAAGAAATAAATAAAACAATTGGAAGTAATGTAATGATAAGCAGTGAACATGCTGTATAAGAGAGATAATTGTTTCCAATAACAATGTATTTTTTTAGTAACACACATTATTGATTCTGTGAATGAACGAAGGTTCTAAACGTGTACTGTTGTTTTGCTGAAAAAATTGTTTTATGATGTTGGGTGTTATCGCTGGAAATTTTGATGTTTTTTTCTGTGGTTTCAACTTCAATGGTTTGATTTCATTGACATGTAAGAGTTTGTAAAACTAATGTAATAACAAATAGTTTTTGAAGTTATGTCTACATCTGTAAAAATAATCAATGTATGTTAAATGACTAAGCAAATTGAAATTAAGGGTGCGAAACTAATGAAATGATCAAAAATGATCAAAACTTATCAAAACTAGTGTATCGGGTAGAAACCCAATGTGGATTATATTCACACCGTACTATCATAAGTCTTATGGATAGACCAAGATTTGCCCATCATAAGTATGAAGGTATGAAGCTTGATAAGTCAACTAAGCTTCGCTCAGCATAAGTTTGAAGTTATAAAGCTATCGCGTAAGCAGAGCTACGCTCAGCATAAGTTTGAAGATATGAAGCTAGAGAGGCAGCTGAGCTTCGCTCAGCATAAGTTTGAAGTTATAAAGCTAGAGTGTCAGCTGAGCTACGCTCAGCATAAGTTTGAAGATATGAAGCTAGAGAGGCAGCTGAGCTTCGCTCAGCATAAGTTTGAAGTTATAAAGCTATCGCGTAAGCTGAAATACGCTCAGCATAAGTTTGAAGATATGAAGCTAGAGAGGCAGCTGAGCTTCGCTCAGCATAAGTTTGAAGTTATAAAGCTATCGCGTAAGCTGAGCTACGCTCAGCATAAGTTTAAAGATATAAAGCTAGAGTGTCAGCTGAGCTACGCTCAGCATAAGTTTGAAGGTATAAAGCTTGACGAATATGCCAAATATTCTTTAAAAGTTTTTTAAAAAAAATTTTCATACAAAGTTGAATTTTATAAAAATCACAGTCAACTTTTGTTTTAAAAAATTCGTAAGAAAGGAAAGTTTTTTGCCATTTCTGAAGCAACGGCTGTTCCTACCTTGCCCAAAAACAATACAGCTCTTCTATAGAGCAGCACGGATCAAATGTAAAAAACTAGAAGTCTCTACGATGTCTCGTTATTGAGATTTCTTGCTGATTAACTTGCTTGCTTGCTTGCTTGCTTGCCTGCTTGTTTGCTTACAGAAAGCGTATTTTGCGATTTTCTCAGCAATGCCACAACCAATTTGAAATCTGTTTTTTTAAAAATGATGTAAAATTTCAGGCACAAACTTTTCTTCTTGCCCTTTTATAACCAATTTTGCTTTGTTTTCTCACAAAATGCGAAAAACTGATTTTTCAATCTGAACAAAACCAATAGATTCACACGTGAAAACGGTGTGAATATAAAATGATCAAAAATGATCGAAAATGATCAAAAATGATTAAAATGTAAATTATCAGTTCCGCACCCTTGGTTGACCCAGGGCTGGGGTTGGGCAAATATTCGAATATATTCGAATATGAGCAAAAAAATATTCGAATATATTCAAATATTAGAAATTCAAAAATGAAAAAATACGTTATTTGTTGATTAGCATTTTTCAACTTGCCTGTAATTTGTAAATGATAAACAATTCATATATGAGAATCAAAGATATTAAATTGTTAAATATGCTATAATTAATGATTTTTTGTGTATCCTTTGGCAAAAAGCTTTCAAAAACTTACTGACTGTTAGAAAATTTGAATCTCAAAAGACCGTTAAATGAAAAACTTTTTCTATATGGAAATTCATTGAAACAAATTATGTAATTATACTATAACTAATGTTTTCGTAGTGCAACTTTTAGCGGGAAAATTTTCAAATATTTATTGACCGTTAAAATTTTTTAAAAGGCGACTTCAAATATTCTTAGATATCAAATTTTTTCAATTGAAAAAATCATGTTAAACAATTACTAAAATAGATCTAATTTTAATGGAAAAGCAATGGAAGTACTTTCTTTAGCCAAATACGTCGATATTTTAGTTGTAAGTTATTTAATTAATTGTTAAACATTTATTTAAAAAAAATCCAATTAATAACGGTTATTTTTTGAATTATGTATATTCGAATATATATTCGAATATATGCGCACATTTATGTGCGCACATTATATTCGAATATATTCGAATACGATTCTGCCCAACCCTAGAATTCAATCAAAATTCAAAAAAAAAAATTAAATACTTTTGTAAAGCCAATCTCTAGTTGCATGCAAATTAAGTAAGTATCTTGAGTAAAAAAAAAATCCCCAAAGAATTTCCCAAGTTTTCAATTTTTTTAAAAAAAAAAATCAAAAAAACATGCGCTTTTATCATCAATGCATGACATTATTTTATCAACAAACCATTTTTTTATCGGCTACATTTCTTTGCTCTATTTCGGCATTGAAACACGCTGCAAGGTATCGGAATATGTGACGTGTGTTATAAAAAAGAAACTTAATGAAATTTTCTTTCCTCTCGTACGTACATCAAAAAAGAAAAATATTCACTCGTGTTTTTATGAAACGTGAAATATTCTCTTGTCATCATATGTCCGATGATTGAAATATCATAAAAATAGAAAAGAAATAAAAGGAACGGAAGGGAAGAGAAGATTGTCAAAAAATATGTTTTAGTGCGAGAAGAAATTCAATTTGAGCCAATGATGTGGGTATCATAAACAATCATTTAATAATATCCAGCATATTCATAAGTTTTGGAAACAACTACATTATTTAAATGGTTGATTTTTATTCACATTCACAGTCAATCGTAAAATCTATCTTCGTATTCTTTTCGAGTTTTTATGCTTTTTTTCTTGTTAGCTGATTTTTAAGGTGCATGAATTGTGGCTCTTGTAGATAAGTCTTATTGACTAGAGCAGTGGTTCTCAAACAACGTGCCGCGACACCCTAGTATGCCCTCTGGACGTCATAAGTGAACGATTTATTTGAGTATGAAATAAAAAATGACTTTTTTGGTCATTCTTCCTGCTTTATTGGCTGCATATAGCATAGACTAGACTCAAACTAAGCACTATATAGTTTCTTCATGCTACAGTAGATCACTTTCTGATTCTTAATTGCACTCAACTGTCTTTAGCTGCTCTGTGCTGCTTTTAACTGCTCTGTGCTGCTTCTAGCTGATTCTGGCTGCTTTTTGATGACCCAAGCTATTTTTGATTGCCCCTAGCTAGTTCTAGATCCCCCCAACTGTCTCTTGCTTTCTCTAGCTACCCGTAGATTCTCCAGACAGCTCATGTCTTCTCTAAATCCACATTAAAATGTATAGAGCATAAACTGCGCTCTATTTCACATCCTCCATTCCAACTTTTCTAATTCTTCCAATTTTTCTGTTAGCTCATAATAATTTTATGTCTTAAATAAGCACGAAAACTTAATTTCATCAAAAATTAACAAGTCAAAAAAATTTATTGCTGCCTCATTAATGAAACAATCGGAACAACGAGAGGCGAGAATGAGTTTTGCCATCATCTTTTGCAGCCCCTAACATAAATATCAAAAACAGAAAGAACAGAAATAAAAAGAGAAAAAAGATTCTGTTGGATGTTCGGAATTAGATAAAAATTATTGTTATTGTCAGATATTTTTCTGTGCATTGATGATTTGGCCAGGATGCCTTGAAGGGGAGATTTTGATAATTTTTAATGTGTTGGCAGATTTTTTTAAAATGAATCAACTAGCTTTTTTTTTTGTGAAATTAGGGATATCAAGAAACTTTTTTTTTTCTTCGATGAACATCATTTGTGATTGACCTATCCAGATCTTAATATACTGCCTCTCAAGAAATACAGCATATACAGCGAATGATAAGTTTTAACATTAATAACTAAAATTCAATTTTCCTCCATCAATGAAGCACAAGAATTTTTTCCTCTTCATTCAATCTTTTGCCATTTCGAATGCATTGCAATATTATTAATGAGAAAAGAAAGAATGAGAATCATTTCAACATAGCCAGTGAGGATGAGAGTGGCCAATAAATGTGATAAAACATCAATAAAATACAAAACGTTCATGAATGATTAATCATTCAACTGATTAATTTGTTCTGGTTTAATTGAGAGTGAAAAATACAAAGCTCGATGAAAACTGCTCTCGTGATCATGAAGCTATGCTAAGGAATGTATTGCATCCCAAAAAGGCTTTCCTTTGAGTTTGTATGCATCCAAGTCTGAACCTAGTAGAGTTGCGGTATATGACAGGGACAGGTGAGAGTTCTGTCACAGGTATTGCCTGTTTACAGGCACAGGTCCTGTCAACTGCCATAACTCCTTAAGTCAAAGGCATTGAGTTTCCACTGGCACTGTCTGCGAAGGACAATATTTTTTTTTGTTGGCAGACAGTGCTTGTAACATGCAAAACTTGTGACAGATCTGTCACCTGTACCTGTGACATATGACCTGTATTGCATCTCTGGAGC